GTGATGTCATCTTTTCCTACTGCTAATAACAGCAGACGTTTTTTGTAGTACAGCTTAGTTAAGCGAATCACCTTTTGATCCCTAGGCTGAATAAAAGGCGTTAAATTTGGAGGCATATAAACCACGAATATTGAGCCATCAGCAGTTTTAAGTTCATCTTCTGGCGGATGGCTAGGGGCGTTATCAAGCAATAGGATAGCTTTGGTTGATAAACCCTTTTGTAGCAAATAATTTTGAACCTAATAACAATTAAAAACGAAAAAATATTCGGTAAAACTGTTAGGAATTTTAAATGTATTACTCATGAACGTAAGGGACGAAGCAATGGTGAAACCATTCTATGAAGTTGTCTGCAGTTACACCATAAATTTGCGATTTTTTCAACAATTTCAGATTTTTGCTTCAACAAAAGGAGTTTCCGCGCAGAAATGATAACACTTAAAAATTATTTAAATGCTAAATTTATTAGCACACAAAAAATACAAAAAAAAACACGTAAAACAGCGCACATGCACTCACAAGCGGTTGGAACTCGACAAGAACCAAATAAAAATTAGCATCAAATAGTAGCAGCTTTTCTAGTAATAAACATAAAGTGATAAATTTCAGGGAATAAGCGCTTTAATTTCCGGTTAAATTTGGTATTTTTTGTCAATTTATGCTTGCCGTTGCTTTTAAAATTTTGTTCACTATTTAGAGGCTTTCGATTGTTCACTATTTAGAGTACTCTGTGTAAATATTTCGGTGTTCACTATATCGAGGTGTTCAGTATAGCGGGCGTTCGCTATATAGAAACACGACTGTAATAATTACATCCCTATTCTGCAACACTTTCGTATTCGGATTTTGCTACGAATCGTAGAAATGGTATGCCGCCCTCCGAATCGTATCTTCGAACTTTCGTAAAAATTACATGCCTAAAAACGAGTGAGTAAGAAATTGGCAGCTTTTTTGCGTAATTTTGTACGAAAACATTTCTGTGTCGGAAGCGAGATAAAAATTAAGCAAAAAGATGTAAGAGTTTGTGTGTTTGGAGGAAATATTAGTGGTGCTCTTTTGAACATATCAATTTGCATTTCGCATATATGTACATATATTTCTATCCACTGCTTTATATATATGAATGAACAAAAAAATTCTTGTTGCCCCTTGTTGAGAAACTTGGGTACGGTTTAGTTATTTGGCCAATGGTTTTGGGTTGTTGTGTCCAAACGCATGACCCGAATCTAAAATCTTTTATATACATACAGACATACAAGTTTCGATGTGGGTTCTGCGCAAAAATACTTTGGATGTTGTAGCCGGAGTTATGTATACGCACATGAAACGTTGCATACCTTCCGCCCCTCTCCGGCAACATAGAAATTTGAATTCTATTTAGGACTAGTCAATGCCCGCTTGCATCGCGGCTCCTAATAAGAACTTCTGCGTTGGCCAATGCAAAAGAGCGTTTAAGAGCCAAAATAGTATTTAAAGTCAAAATTTTGAGTTTAAGTTTAAACCACGAAAGTGCAGTATCCTCCTCACACATAGGCCAATAATAGTAAGGCTGTGATGCCATATCGATGGCTGAGTGGAAGATCAACCTATCTCTGCAGCCAGTTCAAAAACACCCTATCTCAGAATTTGGTTGAAGAATGCCTTATATCAGAATTCGGTTCAAAAACGCCCTATCTTAACGAAAATGAATTGAAAATGTACTGACATAGTGCGTTTTTAAATCGGCCCCTGAAATACGGCGTTTTTGAACCGAATTCTGAGATAAGCTGCTTTTTAATAAAATTCTGAAGTAGGGCATCGTTGAAAATTATTCTGAGATAGGGTGTTTTCGAAGTGGCTGCCGAGCTAGGTCGATCTTCCACTCAGCTATCGATATGGAATACTTATCCCTTTCGATGTCATGAGCTTCGCCGATGGTCTTATTTCCACCTGTGAGATCTCTCCTAAGCATGCGTAATATTTTTCTATGATCTTGCAACTACAACATTGGTCCGATGTATAAACCAATAAAAGAGGAAACTCGAGAGCCCATATGTGCGTTTTCTATTGTAGGAGGGCCAAGAACCCTCGCTGTCCCACAGGATGAAAAGTTTTCCCCTACATTAGCTAAATGAGTCGCGTGATCTCTTGAATATCATTCAAATGAAGCAGTTGATAAACCTACGAACCTTGTTGGTTCGCCACTTTTACAATTCGTGTTAAATTTATGAATTGATTTCTAGGTAGATGCAAGATCGCATTTAGGATGCATGATGGAGTCAGACAAAGATGCCCTTACACAATTTTGCGGTCTTTCCATGCATACCTAACCCTATCCTTCATTTAGCAATCTGAAACTAAATTCGTATAACTTAAATATAGGGCCAAAGCAGACTAACCACATGGAGTTTCTATACATTTCGGCAGCAGCGCCATCCATTGGGTCCATTTTCTGCAAAACCATTGCTTACCATAAAATGAATACGTATTATGAATTTTAACCTCGACTCCAGTGCCACTCAGCGGGTCTAAAGAATTTTTCATCATACATGTACATAGCTCACATTTAAAATTTGAACGAAATGGGTTAATAAATACGACTTGTATAAATAACTCTACTCCAGCACCATATATGTAAGGTATAACCTCCGACAATTAGACGGAACTCTATTCAGTGGTTTTTGAGTTTAGTGTGAACAACGAAAACGGCTATCATTTTGTGTATATAGGTATGTAGTCTATAGCGAATCTCATAGAAACCAAAGCTTCAAACTTTGTGCTAAATTTGAAAAAAAAAATCTTCAAAATTTTCACAAATTTTACCTTTTACCAAATATTAAAAACAATGTTACAATAATTCAGTGGGATTTAGAAATGTAAGAGAAAATAGTTCCCAATCGAGTGATACTTGTGCGTTTTTCGTAAATGTATATAGATGCAGCCTTTCCAATAATCACCACTTTTCGCCATAAGTACGGTATTAATATCATATGTAGCTGTGTCGAATTTCAGGACGTTAGAGTAAGCGGTTACAGAGATAAGCTATATGAAAAGTTCAGTTTGTATGGGAGGTGCCACGCACCCTTTTCCAATGCCTGCCAGTTTTCGCCATAAGTAGAGTATTTGCAATTTATGCTTCCATGCTAGGTTTCAGCTCCCCAGCGTTATTGATTTTAGAGATATAATGGTTTTCTACTTTTTAGTCTGTATACAAATTTTACGAATATCCCGACCCCAGCGCCACATACCAAGTAAATTTTTAGTTGAAATTGGTTATTTTCAAGGTGCTCGCATATGTTCCAAATATGTACCAAATCGGTGGAGCCGTTTAGTAGTGAAATACAATGTACAGAAAACTATACAGTCAGTCAATAAAGTTTAGGTGCAGCGATTTTTTTACAATACTGGCAACTATTTTCCAAATATTATATTTTTCGATAATTTTTTATAAAAGTATGGTTAATTCTATAATAAAAACCCCAAAAATCAGTGTTCCAAACCTTGTGCAAAATTCAGAAAATTCTGCAAAATTTCCTTCAAATATTGCACTTTTTATTTACGCTCCCTAGAAAAAAGTTGAGTATGCAGTTTTTTAGCCCATTCAATTTTAGCATAATAAAGTGCAAGTTGGAGGTGGAAGATTCGGCATTAAAATTTCCTAATCTCTTTAGTTTGATGCCACTATTGCATTATTTAATTTATGTTATCAATTAAACTAAATAAAAGTTTTCAAGCAGGTGGGAACCTTCCACAAAAGTATTTTCAGCTGTAAGCCTTTGTAAACCTCTTTCTTTTGACAGCCATATTGCAATATTTACTTTATCGTATCAATTTACTTAAACTGAAATTTTTAAACAGGTGGCAACTCTCTAATTTTTTACTTCTATATTGTAAGTTAGACTTCTAACGATACATCGGTGAAAACTGAATTAGATTCCATGCATTAGTTTTCGAGTGATGCGCGCACAAATATACAGACAGACAGACAAAAACTCTAAAATTTGTTAATTTGACTTCTGTAGCTCTAATTAAGGCCCCCATATTAATTTTTCTTTAATATAAATAATGTACAGACATCGGCATGTTTCAATTTCATTATAGGTATAGATATACATAGCTTTCATTTATTTGATCAATTTAATTCAATAAAATTTTTCAAACAGATGGCAACCCTCCTCAAAAAATATTTTCGGCAGAAAAGTTTCCTAAACCTCTTCAGTTTGATACCCATAGTACAAAATTCACTTTATCTTATAAACTTATTTAAATTAAAATTTTAAAACAGGTGGCAACCCTCAAAACACATTTTCGGTTGTAACCCTCAAATTTTTTTTCTATATTTTAAGTTAGGCCTCTAGCAATACATCGGTGAAAACTGCATTCAATTCCATGCATTAGTTTTCGAGTGATGCGCGTGCAAACATACAGACAGACAGACCGACAGTCAGTTCGACCGACAGACAGTCAGTTCGACCGACAGACAGTCAGTCTGACCGACAGACAGTCAGTCTGACCGACAGACAGTC